AAATCTGGTAATTCTTTGTTTTTACATTCATCGGGCCCCAATATGCCCAAATATCAAAGAGAAATTCAAAATGCATGCCGTAGAAGAGCTCGGATCTTAGGAGGTTAAAGAGTCTTCTGAGGTGAAGAGTTTACTACAGTGCATCAGCTTGCTGTGTCCATCATTTGTCACTTATTTTTGCTCTGAAGGGGACCACAACCTTCAAAGTAGGGGGGAAACAAGTCCTTAAATTTCACTTCATTCTTCAAAGATTCCCATGCTAAAAATCATTTCCGGAACAGGTCATTCTCCAAATCTGGTGCTTAAGAGGCACCACCCAATTCTGCATATGTGTAAGTCTATAAGAACCAAATTGGTGCCATTGGATGGCTTTAATTTGCTATGGGAGAACAGAGTTGCTTATAGAAAACCTGATATCTGGCCATGACTGCAAGATGAAAGCTTGTGAAATTAAAATCCAGAGCAGAGCCCGAGGTGCACACTGAAAAGTCTCTGAAAATCATAAATTCCCTAAACTCTTATTATTTGGAATGTATAGCAGTACCGTGACTTAAAACTGCAGATTAAAAACAGATTTTATCACTGAAAATTTGAATTTGGGATTTTTGGAAATCACACACCCCACATCATACTGACTAAAGAATATATATCATACGGCTCGATCTGTGGAAGTGCATTATTGCATGTGGCATGGGTAAAATACACATTTGTGAAGGCACCATTAATGCTGAACAATATATGCAGCTATATATCATCATATAGACATCTTACTAAAGGAGGGCCTATGCAAACCGCATTCTGCATGTAGAAGCACAGCTCTGTAAAACAGAGTCTGGGTCTTAAACTGCCACCTGCTGAAAACATTTGGCACATTATGAAACAAAGACAAACAAACCCACAATGCAGCAACCTGTTATGAAGCTCAGCTCTAATTTAAGCAAGGATGAGCAATATTTTGCTTTAAGCTACAGGCGTTAATGTCGTCAGTTGGAAATACTCAGACTGATGTTAAAAGAATCGTTAAACTGTCCATTTTGTTTTATATTGTTGCACAGCACAAAAAATGAGCCCTATATTTCAAAACAAGCAAAGTTACATTTTTTCATTTCATTGTATTCCATTTTTCTGTCATTTTATAGTGTCCCTACATAGATTATATATAAAACATGGACACAGCCACCATAAGATTACCCATTAATTAGTGAAATCTCATTGTGATACTCACAACTCATTATTTTCACTGTGGCACTGCTGGTGTTTTGAAACCAGGAGTAATGGGCACGTAGATGTGAGTGCAAAACTGAGAAAAACTAACTACTTGAGACTGAAAAGCTGTTAGTCTGACTCTTAATTTACAAAATGAAACCTTGTTTTATTTGAAATCTCCTGAAACTAGCATTTAAGCAAATAGGCCCGCTGTCTGTTTTGAATGCAAGTTTAAAAGCTCTTTTACAATTGCTTCGTTTTTCAGACAATGAAGCTATAGTTATCTTTTAGATAGCATGTAATTACTAACAGAAGTCATGTAGTACTCTTGTCTGTAGATAATCAACACTTAGTATCAAAACATATGCTGTATTTAACTGAGCCAACTGAGACTAGCCTAAGCCTGCCTCTCTTTGTTTGTGCCACTGCAGGTCCCACCAGCATAGAGATGATAAAACAAAGATATCAAAGATCTACAAAACAATGTAACAGATCAAACTAACGCTGAGAGACAAGGGGGGAAGAGATTAGATAATTTCACAGACTGCTTCAAGCATGAGAACACCTACCTTTCTATTCAGCCAATGTTATTTTGTACAAGCAGAGTATATGACAGCTCAAAACATCCCCTTTTAAATTTAACAGCAGGCAGGAATAGACACCTCATAACAGCACTAGAGAAGAGATGTCTTAGTTGCTAGGGGTGATGGCATACTCAGAGGCAATTTTACTCTTGATTGATGCAAAGTAATTAACTATTTCTGGTAAGTCATAAAAAGTAAACAATGAAACACACCGTTAGACCCACGCACGGTGAGGAAATCTTTGCACACGAGCCAACAAGAAGTTACGAAACAAAATAAAAATACACTTTTTCATTTTTTCAATTTTTTTTACTGGTAAAAGTTTGTAACCTCGCTTAAAAACAAAAGCTACTCAGATTCGTACATGTGAACATACAGTAAGGATTAGGAGATGAAGTGGGAGGTGGGGTATTATAACCTATAGCTGATTAAGAAAGTAGCTTAAGACATCTTGGGGTAAACATTTTATTATTATTAACAGTGCTCTTTAGTGTGTGTTGAGACATTCCTGAGGAACATTTGTGGTGTGATGTTTTGAGTGCAATGTGGATCCTGCAAGTGTGCTCCTACGTGGACCCACAATACAGTCTGCCACTTTCTGGATCATTTTTGCGCCTGTTTGTGTGCATTCGGAGCAATTACAAGACATAAGAACACGTGTGTGTGTAGTTTTGTGAATATGAATCAGAATCGGTGTGCCTAAGTAATACGTGCATGCACAGACCCACCGCAGAAAGAGGGTTTCTCAGAAACATTAATATGAGAAAATGTGAGCATGATATTCCATCATGCAGCAGCGCTCATTAGTGACACCAAACAAACAGGAACATGCCTCTAGCTTACACAAAGACCACTTTGTGAGCCATCCCTTGCAAACACAGAGTTCAAGGCAACGGAAATGTGAGGTTAAAAAAAAGAAGAGAAAAAAAGCTGAAGTGTAAAAGGGAGGGGGTATGGTTCAAACGTCCACATTAATGAGGTAATTTTTGTACATACAGGCCAACCAGAATGGGAAGGACAGAAGACCATCAGAGCATTAAAATGAAAAAACACTTTCCATGTTTCAAATTCATAGCATAAAGGGTGAGGAAGGAAAAAGAACTTACGTCAAGGTCATCCAGCGATCGTGCCAGGCTGAGACGTTTGGCAGAACGACGTTTAGACGCACGAATAGCGCCTATACCCCAAAACCTGGAACCCTGAAGGCAAGAGGATTTAAAATCACCATTACTGATTTAACTTTTGAACACAAGACACAATCTCTCCTAGAAAATCAAGTTACCAAACTACAACTTAGTAACTGTTAAACTACTGTCACTGACATCTATTTATCTACAGAAATTTTTTGCTTATTTAACTGTAAAACACGACATTTGCTATGACTGTCAAAGATAATGTCATAATTTTCCGAGAACTGAAGTGTTTGTGACACGTTTTTGCCCGGAGAGTCAAAGATAATGGAGTTACTCGCGGATAGGAGAAAATGAAAATGTAACAGTATAAGCAAAGTGAGAATTGAATTTGAGATGAGTTTGTTCAAACACATCTTTCTGGGAATCCAAAATGATCCGCGAGATCTGACAGATTTCTCTCCTGGTGCTTCTACATTCAGATATAATTGCACACTAATGTCACAGTCTCTCGGACTGCAGATGGAAACACAATCGCTAATATCTTAAAGATACTGCATTCTAACCAGCCACCGCATACTCTTGTGACTGGAGAGGTTTTGTGTCTATTGCTTGCAGATAATTACTGCTGCATGACATGGGCTCTACCCTGTAATTTGTCTGGCTTCCTGTTCAAGATAGTCTTTTTTTCTGATCTAATGCAAGCTGCTGGGAAAAGATGCAATCAAGCTCTGACTTGGAAACACAGGGCAATGCTTCTCTTAAAGAAATAAACTTTAAAAAAATATATCACATGAGATTATTCTGTAGCCAAACTTAATCTAAAGCCCGCTGCACGTGTCCCTGATTACAAAGTTATTTACAAACACAAGCTCGCCTACATGCTGACTAATTTGAGTCTGTTGCTTAGTGAAAAAGCCGACTTCAGAGATACTTTAGACGTGTAATTGTGGTTCTTGGAGCTCATGGATACACAGGGACATCTTGTGGACAAAGAGGAAACCAACAGTAAAAAAAACCTCTTTATAGAGTTGCACATTAACTTTCAGCAGGTGTTTTCTGAGCTCAATTGACACACTGCACCAACTGAGCGTTGAGCAGTGGTGTTTTATTTCATGTTAGGTGCCACCAAAAACAGACTTACTAACACCCCGTTGATGTCGGGAAACTCAATTCTTTCTGAGCATTTAATAGTTCAAGAGCCACTATAAGCACAGAAGCAGATGCTCTTGCCTCAAGGTGACAGGAATAATAAACTTTACATTTTAGCAAAGAAACCTGCACAGCACTTAAGTAAAAGCATTTAATTCAACAAGAATACAAAAAAAAAGTTTTAAAGAGTTTGTGAAAGACAGGACACCTCATGCTTGTTGCTGATCACATAAAATGTCTCTGTCAGGACACCTATAAAGATCCTATAAACATCACCGGGTACTGCAAGAGGACATATTAAGGACCTATTACAGGGACGTCATTTCTGACTTGTATTCTAGCTTGCTAGAGCTTTGCATGACTCACACCTCAAAATAATCCTTATTAATTTGATGATGGGCCTTGATGCAGTTGCTCAGTCTGAAATAAAGTATTTTACATCCTCCCCTTTAAAACTACTTTCTTGGATATGCTGCAGCATACAAAGAGCAGGTAGTTGGGCTGCTGTGTGCCATTTTTAATTTGAGCATCTGCAATTTTAAAAGTACATATGAGATAAAAACAGGGGGGGGGGAGCATATAATGGCTCCCTCACAAGTGAAATTAAAAAAATATTTTCTAACATTTTTGCCCTTTTTTGTAAATAACTATCAAGAAATTTTAACCTTTTGGGTTCAAAAACATGATAAATATATGATTTTTCATATTTGACTCTTGTGGAAGTTAAATGCCTGAAACCTGTATTTCAGATCACAGGTTATTTATACATACTCATAAACCTCATTAACTACTTCAATGGCAGCATAAGAAATGTTTATTTTTAAATTCTTTAGATTGCAGCTTTAAAGTAAAAAAAAAAAAATAGAAGAAAGAAAACAAGAAAGAGTGTCTTACTTACATTTCTAGTGCTGCCATCCTTTTGCTGCTTCTGTCTCTGTTCTACAAACTTTCTGGTCCATTCCTCCCTGGGAGGCAGCATCATGACTTCAGCTGACTGGTACCTTTCCGAGGGTATCTGGCTCATTGGAGGTGGCAGGTTATTGGTGCTGGCACTAAGACTATTGTGTGAGGGCCAGTTGTTGTTGGATGTTTCACATGGTGCCGGATCACTACTCAGGACTTTTGGCCACTTTGGCTTTGAGAACCACCGTTGGCTCCCTCTGAGAGGATCTCCAGAGAAGTTTGTTTTTTTATCCAAACGCATAAGAGGTGGTGGGGGCTTGAACTGGAACTGTAGTCTGGGTGGGGGTCCTCCATAAAAGCTAACTAAAGAATCTGGGCCAGGTAATGACTCTGACAGGGAATCTGTGCTGGTAGTGTTCTCTGGATTAAGTTTTTGGCCATTCTTGGAGAGGGTTATTGGGGTGAGGCCCTCAGCCGGAGGATAATCCCATGGACAGCTGGGGAGGTGGGCCCCAGGATGGTTTTGGATCACCGAAGGGAAATCCCTGTCCGCTCTCTCCTCAGGGGGGGAAACATTTCCAATACCACTGTCCCCATTGCTGCTGGCACTGCCACGTTTGGCAGTGCTGACGTTCTCCTTGGCATGCTCCTGGGCTTCTGCGTCCAGTTTCACTCTTAGTCTTTCCACAGCTTCCCCCATGTCGCTGTAAAGTACTGTTACAAAGTTAAGAACATCCGGGGGAGTCTGTGGGAATTCCAGGCAGCCCGAGGCATCTGGATCTGGAGTGCAGTTGAAACCAAAACGGCCAGCAATCCCAGTGTGATCCTTGTGATTTCCCAGATCTGGGTCAATGAAAAAAACATGGCAGGAGGCACGCAGAGGACTATCTTCTGGCACACGGCCATTAATAATATGCCCTGTGGTGACCAGGCAAAAAAAACGTGGGTCTTCAGTACACACAGCCCCCAAGACCAGGTTCTCAGCAGGGAACGCTGCCAAAACAGCTCCAGCGTCGTCACAAAGACGAATGCAATCAAACATGATCTTCATCATCACAAGGGTATGGGTGTCCTGCTCAGTGCCCAGCTGTCGGATTCTCTCCAGAATGGCCTTTGAACAGTCCTCTGATTCACTAGTGTTCAAAATCAGCTCTGTGGAGCTCAGGTAGCCAACCACCAAAGTCATGTTCAAAACACCCCAGTCTGGATTGGCTTCGTCTGTAATAACAGAGTCTGCATCCCCAGACGTGGAAGTCTCCTCCCTTGGCTGCTCAGCTAAAGCACTCCACTGCTGTGACCACTGTGACATATCCGGCTCTGAAACCGGCCTCTGTTTGGCGGCAACCGAACAACTCGCGTTAAAGGAGGAGTTGCTTGAGTCATCTGAGACTGTGCGGAAAACACTTGCCTTTTGGAAAACGCCACTTTTCTGAGGAAACCCAAATTTCACATCATTAAGGATTGGGTTTCCCAACACTCGGCCTTCAGCCTGCACCACCAAGCACAGGGGTCCTTTGCAGCTGCCAATCAGCTGCACCACAGCCTCATGAGAAGCAGTAGACACGTCACTTCCATTGATGACCATGATGCAATCTCCTTGTCTGAGCCCCACCAAGTATGCCGGGCTTCCTTCCAGGATGCCGCTCAACATGCACGGCCTCTGTCCTGAAATAGTAAAGCCATATCCAGCCCGACCACGGATGACCTCCACGCTCTTGAACTCACCGGATGCATTCATATCCAGACGCCTCCTCGCGCCCTCAGGCTGTCCCTGTATCCTCATCTTTGTTGCCGCATGTGGGAACTGTAACACTTGTCCGTTGCCAACACTATTGTGTTGTTGTCGTCTTATGGTAACACAAAGCAAAACACAAGGACAAAAAGTAAAGAAGACGACATGTTTTTCCACCACATTAAATTGTTCAAAGACTTAATAAATTACAACTCATGCATTAAAATGTCAAAAATACTTGCAAATAAAGGACAGCTCTAAAGTTCTTTGTGAAAACTAATGAGAAGTTCTACAGCACATTTTATTAATTACATTAAATGGTTATTTTATTGATGAATACTGCTAATAAATAATGTAAAGACTATATACTGAAAACAGAATAACATTTTTAAGCAGTGTTAGAAAAAGCAGGGTGTTTTTCTAGCTTTCTTTGCTCTCACCTAGTCAACAAATTAATTTAATTTAATCAGTTTCATTTAATAACCAAGTAACGCAACCCACATCAATCTTATATCTGCAATTATCTGTCAGAGCTAAAACAGAGGCAGCTTTTATGTGCAAACACGGCTCGCATATTACTCCCAGTCACCCCTCCACCCACTCCCCAAAACACACCGCCAGCTGGCTCCCTGCTTACCACCACTTTAATGAAGGACTCTGGTGTCGGTAAGCCAGTTTTTAAATGTTCCAACACTTAAGTCACCGCCCGAGTCATTTTATGAGGGCAAAAAAACCGAAACAAAAATAGCGAAAGCTAGCTCCTGCTTTACTTTTTTTTTTTTTTGAGTTTTGGCAACTTTAAAGCGACAAAAAATGTTAACGTAGCTCGAAACTTTGACAACAATTAAGGCCTTATCGGGAAAAAAAATTTAACAGTACCTGCTTTTAAAGTTGTGCCAGAAAAAAAAGCCCACGGGTTTTACGTTTACGTTAACACGAGTCTACCACGTTTACATTTTCCGCTTCACGCGTCCATTTTTTTTCTCTATTCTCTCCCTGCAGTGATTCGGTACTCCATATGGCAGAGCTCGAGGGCACCACCTCCATCCATTCACTCACCACGGAAATCACAAAGCGTCTTTCACTGTAACCATGACAGCGTAACGTCTCCGGAACATGTGACTCCTCCCACTGGCCAATCAGCATCTCCTTTGCGTTCAATATTCAAACAGTGGGAGTGACGCTATTGGCTGACAATGATGGCAGTTGACAAGCTTCATTTTTCCCTTAAGTAAAGTAAAGTATGTATATATTTTTTTATTTATATATGATATTTTTAATAAATAACTCTGCTTAAGTACACAAGTGAGAGCACAGAAAGTTCTCTGGAGACTCTGTAATCACCCCTGACATATGTCTAAAAGGAGGACTATAATGAAATTTAAAAGGCACTGCCCATGCAATGGTGATAAGTTGATCACTTAAAAACCAAAAAGTAAAAATAAAAAAGGTCTTACCCATATGACTCTGCGGTTACTGCAGTATGTCTCATCCACTTTGCCTCTGGTTAACTCCTTCCCCTCCACTCGACTGCGGCTCTTTACGGCGGATGGTGTGTAAACACTAACTCTGGTCAAAGGGCTGCAACGGTTGCCTCACCCCTGGCCTTACTACTCATGTGCGGTGTAGCTTACTCATTTGCAAGAAGCTGACAGCCGTTTTGACAAACCACTATATAACAACAGGATTAGAAGTCTAATGCAATGACGTTGCACTTTATGATTTATTTATTACGGCTGTGAGCAATGAGCATACTATGCAAACACAGGCCACACAGTTCAGTGTGTTATAAGGAAACAAACGATGTTGCTTTCTCATTTTCATGAAGGAGTGACTTCCTTTGAGCTGGTGTAATGTGTGATGGAACTAGCCTAATCCCCCCTATTTCTCCAAATCCTCTTAAAATGGGCTGAAAGGCAAAGACCTTAATATTTCAGCTAACGTCAGCCTCCACCCTCTGTGTATTTTGCATCCCAATAATTGTACTGTAGAGTCACGGAGATGGGGGATGTTAGAGTGAAAGACAGCAGCAGGTTATCTTTGCATAGTTGTCAGTTCTCAAGAAACAAATCTGCGGGTTTCTGCCTTGAATGAAAGCTTCCATATATATCAAATCCTAAAACTAAATGCTGTAAAAATGCTGTTATATGACTTTTATTAGCCACTATCAGTGTCTTTGTTATGATACGAATAGAAGAATCTGTCTGACTTGTCAGTCTTATTATGACTAATGACCCATATTCCTAGAAATTTTTATGTGGATATCAGTATAACACTATAAATATCAAGGTTACCAATCACTCTGTCACATTCTCACGCAAAAGAAAGTCAGGAATGTTTCATTAAAGCTACTATTTTGCACAAAAAGACATAGTCAAGGTTTCTTTTTCTGAGAAATCTCAAGCAGCTTGTGTTGCCATTTGCTGGCAGCTCTTTACCAAATGACTGCAGTAACAGTGGGGATTACCGCCTAAATTCCTGGTTCATGGTTGCTACAAATTGCCCTGTTTTGGCATCAGACCTCCCATGTAACATGTAATTATCCTGGCAAAGAATAAAAAGTGATGGCTGTTGTTCCCACAGTGATTTTTATTAGGGTACTTGGCAAATTATCAAGAAATCTTATACAACTGTTCCTAAAATGAAAATGTACAGTGGAGCCTGACTTAATGTTGATGCTAAAGTGCTAACAAATGCAATAACATGTTTATCTTCTACAAATGATACTCCTCCAGAAATGGTAAAAGCCTGTATTCATGCCTGTCTCTACCATTTCTACACAGAGCTTTACTCACAATAGGATAAACCTGGAATGCCAAAATAAAATACATCATTTTTTTGTATTCAACAAGGTTATAGGTGAGGCAATGCCCCCCAATAAAAAACAAAACAAAAAATATACACTTTATGGTTTTCCCGGATCCTTCACACCGCTCTGACCCCATGTGGCTGATGCAGTGGCGGGAAGCTGGATCATCTTCTCCAGGAGGTTCATCATGCGCTCCTGCAGCTGCAGGCACTGGACCTGGAGGAGGTTCTGTTGGTGCACGGCTCGACGCACCTCCCTGCACGTCTCCTCCATGGCCCGGCTCGACTTCTTCTGTTGCTGCAGCATAGCCTGCAAGACTCGCAGTTTCTTCCGCTTCAAGGACAGGTGCTTGCTGGCCTTCCTCTTCCTGGCCGAGATAGGATGTGAGCTGGGGGAGCAGAGAGGGGAACCTTTCAGAGCAGGCAGTGCCTAGTAAAAAGAGATCACACTGGGTTCGCATTTTCACAGGTTAGTTCCACGACCTTCAACATAACATTGGTTTGTGTGCATCGGCTCCTCGCGCCGAAGGCAGAAATCATAGAAGTAAACCATTGCAAGTGTTTTACAATGCTATGGACGGCATTTAAAGGGAGTGAAACATGGCTTATTACTGGTAGCAACAATCTACAGATTTTAGCTGTTTTAATAAGAAGACAGCCCTGAGGACACATCAGCTGGATGCATGTTTCTGATTTTGCCTAACCAGTACAGGCAGATTGTGGGCTGCAGCTTTCTGGAGAAGCAGCATGAGTAAGGATGGGTATTGATAAGATTTTCACGATTCCGATCCAATTTTGATTCTGTTTAACGATTCGATTCTTTATCGATTCTTTTTCAAAAAGGAGAACACTAAGGTCGATTATCTTAGAACTTTGTTTTATATCTTCTCTTTGAACAAGATTGAAATTTAGGAGTAACATGGCCTTACAAACCCAACAGTGAGATCTTAAGAGATCCACAGCCTACGGCTCTTCAATGGGGTGTCACGGGGTCCCCAGGAAAAAAATTGTAAATGTAAAATAATAAAATAAATATTCTTCAGTAGCAATAATTACAATTACAGAAGAATAGCCAGTAATGTCCCTGCCTACAATTAAACACATCTGCTGTGGCAAATGGGTGCAAACCTTTGACCACAAACTTAGTCACTGCTCGGTGACATTCGTCTATCCTGGCCTGAAAGGAGACGCTACCAGTAGACTGCAGCGAGAACTGGCAGCATCTGAGCCAGACTCTGTCTGTCTCTCTCATCATGGTCACCTAAATGCATAGTAATGGCAGGTTTTGTAATAAGGCAGATCGCGCTAACATAATATGCACTGTTAGTTGATTATTTACCTGCTGCATTAACGGGAGAGGACGTACAAACGTTACCGCTGCTGCTGGGTTGAGATTCACGAGTCCGGAGCGGAATTAAAAACACGACATTCATTTAAGGTCATCGTGTGTTTTGTGAGCAAATGCTTTTGCATACTCGTAGTGTTTCCTCCATTAAATGAAATATCTACTTTGCAAGTATTGCAAGTTGCCCTGTTGTCCTCCGTTCTCGTAAAGTATAATCAAACTTTTGAGCGTTTGAGCCGCCATGTTTCCTGCCAGGTAAATGACGCTCCGCAACGTGGTGACGTAATTCGTGGCGACGGGAATCGATAAGGGAATCGTTTGCAAAAATGGCAAACAATTCCAAGGAATCGAAACAGTGGGAACCGGTTCTCAGCAAGAACCGGGCTTCGATACCCATCCCTAAGCATGAGTGAGCGTTTGCTGTGGTGTGCCACAGGAAACTAATGCCAACAACAACAATAATGACAAGAAAACACATCCAGATTGAATTTTAGTGCATCAGAGTGATGAGTTTTTTTTTTTAAAGCAAGAACTTTTGACTCATTTTTCAGCCCATCAAAAGTTGATTTGAGGGCTAAGGCTTGGTTTTAGGGTTAAAGAATTAGGGTGAATTTAAGACTTTAGCACTTAGCTGTTATGGCTAAACGTAGAGTTAAGAGGCTTGGGATTGCATGAATGTCCCCAGAAAGATAGTGTGTGTGTCTGTCAGTGTGGAAACACTTTTAACAAGGAACTACATTTAGCCCCCCCCCCCAAAAAAAAGAGAACCGCTCATCTAAACAACCTCAAAATTGAGCACTGCCCTTGCCAGAGTCCCCAGCGACAGACTCACCAAGTCTGGAGTGGATCAGAGGAACAGACAGACCTACACAGATTATTAGTAAGTAAGTAAAGTAAGTATACTTTACAGAAACTAACAAAACTGTTAAAACGCAGAGAGAAAAAAGCAATCGTGTATATAATTTTAGCATTCAAGGTTTAAATAAAGCATAGCAACAAGTAACCCAGCTGAGGAAAGGTAGTCACTTTCAGTTATAGCTGGCAAGCTGAAAACTGCATAAAACTGTATATCTGGTGGGTTGCTTCTCTGAAACAATAGCATACAAAGGTCAGTTCATCTATTATTATCTTTATGAGTGTTTCAAAAGTGCACATATTCACTATGACACACACATGCACTGTGTGTCTCCTCTATTTCCTGTTACCTGGAGCCCTGTGTGTGCTCACTATCAGAGCTCAGCGAGTCCAGCTCTTGTTTGATCTCCATCTCGTCCGAGGAGCCTGTGTACTCTGGCAGGAATCCCATCAGCCCCTCGTCTGACTGTGGCACCAGGTTGTCTGTCGACTGGGAGGAAGTGGAGGGACCCGCTGCAGAGGCCTGAAACTCCAAAGAGTTCACCCTGCCGTTCTCCAGCGGCTTGGAGAGGATCTTCTCTATGGCCTTGTAGTACGGCCAATCCGGCGCCTCGCTGCCTTCGCCAACTGTAGCTTTCAGTCGCCTGTTAAAGCAGAGAAAATGTAAAACAAAAACAAAAAAATGGGTGGTGGTGGGGGGTTGGTCATGCAGCAGCTGGAGCCACGACTTTGGACCGGGGTTTTGCACTTGCCTGTACTGAAAAGACATATTGGTGATTTTCATCTTGATCTCTTCCTTGAAGCGCTGCTCTCCTGTCAGCTGAAAGAACCTCTGGGACATCTTCTCGTAAACCTTAGCGTTCCTCTTGCTCATTTTCAGCTCGTTGTGGTGTTCCTCCCACACGTACAGGAGGGCTTTCATTTCGCCATCGGTCCAGTTCGGGGCCCGTCTGTGTTTCTCACTGTGGCCTGGCATCAGGTAGCTGAAACCATCCTCTGATGCCATTTTTTTTTTAAATTTTTTAAATGACTCTCTTGACCTGTGCTGGTTCTGTTTGCAGAGCTTTAGAGGTTGGTTTTGAAAGCCTTTTACTTCGCTAAAGAGCCGTGTTGAGTCTCCAGTAATGGAGGGATAGAAGCAGGAAGGCACACACACACACCACCACCCTGCCTGTGCCTTTCCCCCTAGTCTAGCTGAAAGAGGACTCAAAATGGGGCCTAAGGCAGGAGAGGAATCCGGTTAAAAGCTTTTAGTGGTGCGTGATGTCACCGTGACATCAAGTTGCCCTGGCAACGGTGAGGGAGGCCCTTTATTTTCCCTCCCCTCTCCTCTAACCACTCCCATCTGCTCTCTCTCCCCTCCATTCTGCTTCACTGGAAGCACAAAAAGCTTTTAGTTGAAAGGCAGCAGTGTGAGCGCACAAGACTGCTGATGGTTTTGAAATATGAGCCTCCGGGGAGGGGAGGAGGGGTGGGAGGGGGAAAAAAAGCACTGAGAAGGAGGAGGAGTGGAGACCATGGGTATGTGTTTCCCTGGCAACAAGGCAGTGGATTTGGTAGTCAGCCAGCACTCTGCTCCATTTAAAAGCTTTTAATAATACACAAGTCATTTTGAGATGAGGAGAGGGAGGATTTGCTTTATCTGGCAGGATGCGGGGAAAAAGAGAGCAGAAACACTCGCAGCCTGCAATTCAGACCTGAGAAAGCAAGCCCAGGCATCGCACTGCAAAGCTGTGAAGCTCTTTTTTTTAGGTGGGGATAACAAAAGGGAGACATCAGACGAAACGGCAACGTGTAGTGATCAACTGCAGGCAACCATCGAAGCAACACAACACGCTGTCTCCTGTAATCAGCTTTCTTTTCATAGTCATGGTCAGCAGACAATGGACCCCTGCAGAAAGGGTTTCTCTGACCATTTGGGGACTCCCTCCCCCCACCCCCATTCCAGTCTCTGCAAAGGGCGGCTCTCCCCTGCCCCTGTGCGCATTAACCAGTTTATGTGCATATTTCTTTCCTTTCCCTCTACCTCCCCTGGTCTCATGTTTCTCTCAGTAGCATTTACCCACTGAAGCCCCACCGTCGTTCACACACAGACAGCGAGTTGGCAGCAATTCAGCCCCTGCTTTGTCTCCCACATTTTTATTTTTATTTCTTTTACTTTTGCCACCTTAAAACTGGCAATGCAGCAATAACCATCATGTATTCTCACTTTAGGTGCATTAGTGCCATTAGCTGCATTGCGTCCAGCTTAACTCAGTTGCAGGCTGATTAGATCTTTAACCCATCTGCTCCCCACTAACCTGACAGGCGGGCGCTGCATGTTCATACCGCTAATTGGCAGCTTTGCCCGATCCATCACATCTGTCACTTAAGATAAATCTCTGCCGTTGCAGAAATGGAAACGCAAACGAAAGTTGACGTGAAAGGTTCTCGGTGTGCTTGAAGAAATGTGACACTTAAAAAGATTTTTTTGAAAGGGTTGCAATCGTTACCCCGTCGCGTTTTTGCTCCGGATTAAACAGTTGATCGTTTTTTGACTGAGTCTCAAAATATTAAAAATAATCTGTCACTTCGGTTTATTTCAGCATCACGCCCCGCCCCCTCCTCTCTGTCTTTTCTCTGCGGTCCTTTATGATTGCATTTTAGTTACCGTTGTGCATTTTTTCATTCAATAAAGTGGAGGTAATCCAGACTAGTAATCCAGGAGCCAGACTAATCTGCGGATAAACTGTTTGATGCACTGTTCACGTCTGCAGGCAGAAGTCACCGTTGTGAGTGATCAGTAAAATAGAGCCACTTGGTAAAAATAAATAAATAAATTGTATATATGTAAACAACGCATACTCGGAGATCTCGTTAAGGAATCTTTCATTTCTAATTTCACCTCACTCACAGTGTAGTTTGTATTCACACAAAGCATTTCAGAAATGATCAACTGTTGGATTAAAATGTCCTATCAGCCGATTTAACAAAGGTTTTCAGGAGAAACTGAACAACTTAAAATCTAATACATCCAGTCTCCTTAATAAGCATGCTGCTTATTTTTCATGCACTCTGTAAATGGTAAATGGCCTGTTCTAATGAGCCTTGATTTCTGCTGCATTCAGATGGTCTTGCCTTAATAGTTCAGGTTGCCAGTGGTTTAATGGTGCAGGGATTTAAACACCACAGCATACCTGAGTGTTGTTGCTTACCCTGTCCATTCCTTTATGACTGCAGTGTAACTATCTTCTGATATCTGCTTCCAGCAGGAACACAAAGCTCACATCACCCTTAACTGATTTCTTGAACATGACAATGAGTTCTCTATACTCAAATGTACTCACGGTCACCAGCTCTCAATCCAACAGAGGAACTCAGGGATGTGGTGGAACAGGTAACTTACTGAAGTGCTCAGATTACTTTTTGTCTTAAGTGATATCGTGTGGCCTGCTATTGGTAGCATTGAAAAAAAGCGTCATGTAAATTGTACCGGAGTGGAAAGTACCTGTTAGCTGCAAAGAGCAGACATACCTGCTAGCTAAACACAGCTCTACAACCTTCATGACACATCAAGGAGGAGAATGGTGCTAATGCTAGGATAACTTTTAGTTCACTTACAATTGTTTGGCACCAAATCTTGTGGGAAAGTTGATAAATGCTTCCAATATCAACTAGCTGTAAAATTAGCTAAAGTCAACGCATCCCGAAGCAGACTTACAGTAAGCTAAATTCCCCTGAGCAATATAACAAATGTTTGAAATATGGTGTTAATTTTTCTTATCACAAAAATAACTATAATAACAAGTTGCTTTATTTAATAAGTAAAGCTGTAATATCTAGCTAACTTTTTAATAGCGTCAGTGCTACAACTCACTGCTAATGTTAGCAGACTCAACACAGACATTACTACCGTGCTTGGTCACACACCGGGACTGCTTCTTATCAAAAGCCACTAAAATTTAACCCCGATATCATTTGCTTTTTTGTTTTGTTTTGTTTTTAATATACCTGTTTTTAATAAGTTTTTATCTTAGCAAAACAAAAGTTTAAAGAGCTACCTTCCAAGAAAGTCAAATAGTCAGACTTGATCATCACTTCTTAAAAGAAAAAAAAAGTTGAGGCTTCAGGCTTTCTCTTTGAACCTTAGAAAAATGTTTAATGCAAATTTATGCACATAAAACATATACATAGAATACAGTGCATACATAAAATATCATAAAGTAAAAATGCTTTTGATGTTGGCCTACATTAGTATGTTGACACATACTGCTGCATTTCTCTTTAACATAACAACCTGGTCCACAGTAGACCACTTTGGCCCAAGCTGGACCCACATCAAGATAGTCTTTTAGACCGCGCATGGCAAAAAACGAAACATGACAAATACAACCGCTGACCACATTCTGTAGTGTGATTAGAGCATTTGAGGCTGGTGTGTATCCTACACAATAAAAGGAAAAAAATACAGTAGATACAAGCTGTTTCCTTTTGACACCAAGTAAAAAACACTGTGCAAATCTGAGCTCAGGCAGGAGGTCCAATCCTAGCTTTTGGGGAATTTACGCCTCCTAGGGGGGTAATGGATTAATCCACGATAGGGTTTCCTCTATCAGTCATTAACATTAATGCAGATACAAGAAGACATAGAAAGCTGTTAAATACACCCATGCTCTCAGGGTCAAAGGATTCAGGAATGTCAGCTTATTTCTTAAATAGAAAAATACTAAAAAAATGATTGTTTTTAAAGAAAGGGGCTGGTAAATGGCATATAAAGTCTCAGGCAAACTCTGGTACACCAGCAGCTTATCTAAACTTCCCTCCCATGTCTTTGTCTGTCAAGCCAAACCCAAAAACAATACAATGGAACACAGCATATTAAACAAAATGTGAAATTATAGTATAAAAAACATGGATTAATGGAACCGATATCATATAATATATGAAGTATTCATAACATACAAGAACACAAGTTAAAAATCAAACCTAAAAAGGAATGTAGTTCTGGAAAAGTACCACTAGAGGTCAGCAAATATCCATGCTCAGATATCCAGTCAAACATTTGGAGGATTTATCTGCTTCTGCTTGTGGACTAACACTTTAAAAACGAACCCACATTAATTTCTTAAATTTCACTTCCATTCGGTTCAGCAGCAGCAGGAGTGGTAAACACTTCATCACTTAAGAAAAACAAAATCAGTTAGTTACATTCTTGATATGAAGTCTGACAGTATAAATGACAGTTTTTGTTCCCCCCCCCACAAACTAACAATGACTCGTATGTGCACAGTGGTCTCAAATGTCTCACTGAGTAACATCGGCAACCTTGACACCATTACTGCATCAGGAAAGAAAATGATTCCCCACGTACGTATCAAAACTGACTCATGCAGTCGTAAGAGAAAAAAAAAATTGAGTCGCAGCAAATTCTGCTGAAGCTATTTCAGTTGGGGCTTTTGTTTTATAGTCCTTCTCCATCATCTGGTGTAAAAGTTTCCTCTGTTCGTTTCGTCACACTTTGAAAAGAACTGGTCCGTCTAGCTGCGGATCCCCGTCCCAGGATTGTGTTTAAAGACTCACGCCTGGTATCTTCTTGTGTCTTCAGTGCTGTGAATGTCTCTGCTCAGTCTCTGGGTAGACACTCCTCCTCGGTGATGCCCTGAGCTTTGAGCTCTTCGAGGACATTGTCCAGGTGGCCGGGGTCGGGGTACCCGTGGCCCGTGAGGTTGGAGCCGAACTCGGTCTTGTGATGCACCTCGTTCCAGATGACCGTGTCGCTCTCACCTGTAGTGCTCGACGTACCCACAGAGAAAATGAGCCTACGATCCCACGCTACCAGAAGCAGCCTCAGAACCTGCAAAGGGTTAATAAAGAACACGTGTTAATATATGACCATCTTGTCCATCTGAAATTCAAAAGAAGAGACATTTCTATGTATACCTTGCGTCCCTTCTCGCTGTCAGGAAGGTAGCAGTGTCTGGGGAACCCACGTGCAGTGAAGGGTTTGCCTGGATTTGGGTGCTCTGGGCCCTGAAGACCAGAAGAAGAACAGTTTGTCACTTCATTCAAAAAGAGACGCTGCTAGCACCACATAAACACCGATATACTGAATCTACCTGGATGCCAGGAGGGATGTTGTATATGATCCGGATGGTTTTGCAGTCTGGGTGGCCAGGCAGGGAGTGCGGGATGACATGGTACTCCATCTTGCCGGGTGGCTGGTTGCCCGTCTTTACTCCGTAAATGGTCTTGCACGTGGGACACTGCAGGCTGCCGTCCTTGTTGCCGTTATTGTACATAGCAACGAGGCACTGCAGGTGGTACTGGTGACCGCATTGTGCCAGACGACCCACCGACTCGGCCCTGGAGATGCCACCCACACCAGGACCTTTGTAGCCCGATGGTCCGGGCAAGGCCTCCATACAGATGGTGCAATCCTGACATAGAAAGATAAAGGACAGTTTGAGTTCTGTCCACTGCAGAAAAGAGATTTTCAAATTATCAGCACGTGCCACATCATGCTGTTTGAGATAATACCGATATTTTATGTTATCAGATATCTGTAATCCAGCGACTCCAGACATTGGAGTGCTTACGTTTGACTTGCGCTGTGTCACTACTACTGCACTACAATAAATGCTGCTCCCTGCAAGCTGCAATTAAAGGTAAAATGTTATTCAGGTGTTTTTCCCTATGTCATCAGAAATATCGTTGTCACAAATTTCCCTAAAATATCACGACACAATGTTGAGGCTACACTGTGCAGCTCTTTTTTAATGTTTGATCACCTCCCAACAACTTTCAGCACGTGTCATGGCTTTGAGCAGCATTAGTACGCCTTCTACACGTCTACCACGTAAAAATATGGACACCAAAACAACTCTACTATGTAATTTGCTCCTGAAACTGAGAATAGTGCAGATGTGGTTATTTTCCCTCCCACCTTTTTCAGTTATATAATCAGGAGTATAAGTCCTGAGCCTCAAAGAGAGAAATTTGGCCCAATATTTTACGTTTTTGCTGTATTTTGCTCTGAAAGTATTTTAAAAGTTATTAAGAATGAATCCCATCAAAGTCCAACATCATTTTACTGGTCATTATTGTCCCAAACACGGGCTCTGTTTTATACGTTAGATTTCTAAGAGATGTTGCTGGAAGCTATGACGTCTCCATCATAAATAGACTTGCTAGATAAATGCCCTCCATAGGGAGAGAACTCACCTCCTCTGGGGGGTTTCGCACTTTCTGGAGGTAGCGCTTCACCACTTCCTCTGGAGTCTTGCCTACAGACAGAAACACAAAATTCTGTGAGAATTTCATTATAGTCACAAAGCACATTTGCTCTTCTTCAAATCACAACTAGCTCACCTTTCCGGGCTTGTTTCTTTGTGGTCTTGCGACAGCAGTGGCCCAACCCCGGGACAGGTTTGAGGTCGCTCTTGCTGACAGGTGGAGGATGAAGCACCAGCTTGGGAGGGCGGGTCAGGCAGACAGGAAGCCCTGCTGCGCTCATCAAGATGCCTGTTATACCTGAATATAGCCAGAAGAGGGGGCATGAGACATACTACTCATACATTCCTATTGCATACACAAAGCTGGATGAGCTCTTGTGTTATGAGAATGTTCTAGTCTAAATCATTTGGATTGATTCAGGTAGTTGGCATAGGTTACCTGCCAGTGCAGGATGTACAGGACTGGATCCATTCAGGTTCTTCACTGGAACTGTTGGCACTCTGCAACAAGGAAAACAAAGCTGTATGAATCTACTGATGGCTGACACAGGCCAGGTCACCTCCACGCAGACTGAAGAAATCTGACGAGTCACCTGTGAACAGGTGCAGTTAGATACAGCAGATGCTCGCCTCCACCTTACTTAGAGTCAGCAGGTTAAGGAGCTTTTGCCGAGTCAAGTGGAGAAACAAACCCGGATTGACATGCTGCCCTATAATTGCCACATATGTTTGGGATTAAATGGCAGCACCAGAGCCTTGGCTGCTTTATTTTCTCAGTAACAATACTTGTAATATCCCAGGGTCGGTGATCACAAAATTATAAACACTTTAAGCTAAAATCCATCAACTCCAACAAAAGCAGCTTTGATTTTTATACAAGGAGGTGACATGATTGTTCATTTTAACCTCCAGTTTTTGTTCAAGATATTTAAAAATGCTGTTTAGTATGTCACATTTGTTATGAACATATTGAAATGCTACAGTAACTTTAAGCACAGCTGTAATGTGTATAGCACACAGGGAGAGTCACGGCTGTGTCTGACCCATCAGACGAGCGTACTTACGGTCTGCCACTTTTGATAACAGTCATCGCTCTTGCTCGAAAGTGCCAAAAACCACAGATACGAGTCAAAAATATTCCAGCAGCGATATGCAGATGATACGTTTTTTAAGCTTCCTCTCCACTGGTTTCTCACTCTTCTGTTCTTTAGTGTGTCAGTGTGTCTGCCCCCGTCTCCCTCTTCCTCTGCCTGTGTGCCGGTGTTAGATCGCTCTCCTCTTTTATAGGCCTAATCCACCTGTTTCCATCTGGTGGCTAAACTCTGGTTGTAGGCCAGAGATTTGTTACAGCAGGGATTACCTGTCAGATGCTACATCACACTGCCAGGCTGTCATAAGGCAGCACCAGGTTGGTGACTGTACGAGTTACAATATGGCGATACAAAAGAATCCCTCTGACTTTAAAAAGCTGATTTAGTACTCTGATGTCGTTAGTGAATCAACATGTACTAAATCTGAAAATCACAAACATAACTGAGACCAGCCCGTCCGGCACCAACTACCACACCGTGATCAAAGTCACTTAAATTATCTTTCCTCCTGATTCTGACGCTCAGTTTGAAGTTCAGCAGGTCGCTTTGACCACAGCAAAATAGACATGCATGTTAGGGTGACTGGTTTACATGTGGGGTAAACACAGCAGATATAGAGTGTAAAATAAAGGACTCTATGTATGACTGAAAATGTGGTTTCCAGTCTAAAGTGTTTCGAGTAAGACTACAAAAGCAAACATAAGGCCCTGGTTCTAGAATTGGCCTAGTAAAGACCCCAATCCGGCCGGCTGGATAAATGAAGGAGGGCATACATTTTGGATTTTTAACTGTACTTTTAAGTTTTAAAGCTTTTCCTGCTGATAAAAAAACCTCCCCCACAGCCATTCATACTACACCAAAGTAGTTAAGTGAGTGTAAACAATCAAGTGACAGACAAGTTCCTGTTTCTCATCATCTATTTCATATATTAGAGATTTCAAAGATTTTTTTTTTTCAATCAACAAAAACTTTGTTTTATAAATACAGGACAGTCTGGGCAGAACGTTTTCTGTAATTATACTCCTTTATCACGTAGAAAAACTGAGATGTGCTGTTGAAATTGCACTTGCACATTGACTGAAAGGAGGGTTTAACTCGTCTGGCCCACTTTCACTAAGGTCGACTTACCCTGTATGTGGCCCTGCGCTATATAATTCAAGTACTTTTATTCCTCTTTGTATAACTTGATTGTGCTTTTGGTAGTCATCAAATTCAAAATGCATTTCTAGAGCTGAAGATAAATGACTGATACTTTCTTCACTTATTATAGATTCATATGTCTTATTTGTGATCGTGACTTAGCTTTGGACAGAGCTTTAAATAGATGCGATGACAAATCTGGAAGTCATTTTAATATATGCAGAATTGAACCTGCTTATCTTGAAGTCACTAAAGAAAAATTGAGCTTTTGAGGAACAGTGACTCCTGTGTGACTAGAAGAGCTCAGACTATTCTACAGTTAATAGAATACATAATAAAATGTAAAAAAGAAAAAAGATTTCCCTCTCTAAGTAAATGATGTGACGATGGCATGGAAAACCTCACAGTAAGGAATTACTGGACTGTTCAGGTTCCTGTACTGGTCAACCTGATTACACGGTGCTGTGGCTCTATATTTGTTTGTTTACCAACAAAGTGTCCTAGCTGTGGTATTAACTCCGTCTGAGCATGCTCCTTACGTGACTAAGAAAACGTTCAGCCGACCGACTCGATCTCTAACGGGTAAATGTTGACTGGCATTTTATTTGTGTGTCCGGCGGGAATAAGTGAGCAGTATGAGGTGGAAGAAAAGTGGAGAAAGGTTAAGAAAACAAGCCGGGGCGTGTCGGCCAGTCACGTTTCTCTGATCTCGGTTAAGCTATCGGCATTAGAGCGGAGTCCATCTGGAGCTCTCGATGATGGAAACGCACAAGCCACCGCATATGGCAACACAAGCTCACACCCTGAATCAAATCTAATAAACAAATTGGTTGATTAAAACTTGAAGCAGAAGTAAATCCAGTCATCGGGCTCGAATGATGACGGGTTACTTTTTATGGAGACAAGCATAGGCAGTGCAGAAAAAGCAGGTGCGCCGACCAATGGAAACTCTCGTCACTGTGATGCATCTGTGACGCTGACGACCCCCGACACGCTAACGCCTCACTTACAAACCATCTGCTCAATTTCACTGCAGGCAAACTCTCAACAACAGCTCATCAATCCATCTACTAAAGGAAATTCTTTTACATAACTAAACCGCAAAAATGCTACAATATTTTTGTTTTTTTTCAGCAGACTGTTTAAATCCAGTATGAGAGTTCTTTAACATCTTCTGGTACCGCACTTCCTCAATTTGTCATCATGTTTTCTTGCTACAGTTTGTATGTACATGTGTCTTGTGCTTCCTTTGCTACTGCAGCATGTGCTCATCTTTTGTGGTCTTAAAGAAGTTCTACTTGATCCTCTCCAGAAAGTAAAAGCGAGCTGCTTGGTTAAATTCACTGCAGCTTGAATTCTTCTGTAGATTTGAATAATTAAAGCTCAACACATAAATATTTTGGACCCATTGACAGCAAAAGAGGATATGTGCAAGGCAAAAAGTCATCAGTGTAGTGATAACCCACATACCTTTTCACGCTGGCTCCAAAAGGGAGAACAGCCCAGAGACTTCCATGTTAATGTTTTACCAGCTTTAGAACAGGAATGTTTACTAGTTGGTACAAAAGAAATTGTTTGGGCAACTCTATTTAATCTTCCTCTTCATAACACACTCTCAGAATGCCCCAGTCATATCTGTCACTAGGGAAAATGTATTGGCCAACCAGCTGGTGGGGGATTGCTGCAGGTTGCTCATTGTCACTCAGTGAAATTGGTTGAAGAGTGCAAAGCAAACCAGAAATGGGAAAATGTGCCTTTGGAAAGGTGCTGGTTTCAGCTGCAGTCAGCATCTTTCAGTCAATGAATTTGGTGTCTTAGATGCAAACTATAAGTGACCGTGGCAATCTGCTTGCAACCAATGCAACTGCAAGGATGGTTTTGGTGCAACACACTCATTGCAACTGTTTCACGCAGCAAGCATTCAGTAACCAGTCACATTTTTCAATACATATTTTTCCCTAGCGGCCAAAAGTTGCCAAGGCGCTCACTGACTGGTCGCTAGGTCTGTGTCACTAACCACTAAACTGTATAAGTGCAACAGATGGATGGTGACACTGGCGGCTTTTTGCTAAGCGTCATTTCAGCTAAACTGAGTCACTGAACTGGTATCTCAAGTGCATTTGTAGAGAAATTTCAATGCAGTTATCTGAAAATAGTAGCTAATCATACTAACAGAAATTCCAATAACTCTGTAGTCAAGTCTTAATAAGTGAACTTCTATCTTATTACTAACTCATTACTATTTAGCAGGTTATCTGTTTCTGTGTATGACACATTTACAGTTCACCATCCTTTGGGTCACCTCTGCCACAAAAAGAAAAATACGAATAAAGGAAAACATTATTGATGTGGCCAACACGCTACAATTAAGACTTCAAAACTGGAAGTCTTTAAATTTAGATTTAAATAATGACTGGTTTCAGCGGGTTTAAAACAGTTTGGATGTGACTGCGCTTGTGTTGCATGGATATGGGGATAAAGCAGTGAGCAGGCTGGCAGGATCAGAGCGATTCTGAATCGGTGACGTCGGTGGTTTTACCGCAGCAGCAGGTGTGACCATCTGCTGGACTCTCACCTGATATGTTTAAAGAATTGCTCTGTCATGCAGCTCACCTGACACAAAATGAGGAGATTAACGAGGCAGAAATATTAATCCTGCTGTGATTGGTGTTAATCTGAGGCTTAGCTGGTGTAGAAACTGGTGTTTCACTGAGGTTGTTTCAGTTAATGCCAGGATTCAGACAGTTGGGTCACCGTGCTGGGGCACGAATGGATTAGGTGACATGGAAATTATTTTTCAGTGTATGGTTATGTGTCTAATGTTTGGAACTAGAAACTAGGTCTATGCAGAGCAGTATGCACGCATGCATTTTCTCTGCATGTCTGCAGTTTTATATATAAAACAGCTACCTCAGTCACAGTGAACGCCACAAACAACTCCAGCTGCAAACTAAACACAACAACTGTGTTTAAAAAAAAATAAAAAAATTTCTAGTTACACAGCAAGAACAGTGCACCTCCACCTGACCATGACCAGACATCCAACTAACCAGCGCCTTCTGGCTCCGACACGTGGATACTGCGACTTCCTTCATTAATCCTCATGCACTCAGTTCGTCAACACCGGAAGATCACGCGGTCATAAAGCGACACTCTGATAAAGAGTTTCAAAATTCTCTGTTACATCAAACCCTTCTCCCTAATAAAAGGAGATCTTTTTGTAGGTTATAGCAGGTAAACACATCTCGTATTCCAACTCAAATCACAGCAATCACATGGCAGGAACTGGATGAATGTGATGGATGACTGCAAAATGAGGTATATAATGTTACACTTTATAGTTTTGTTGTATATGAATTACAGCATGTTACTGTTAATTGTATGTATACTCTTTGCTGAGTGGTGCTGCAGAATATGCAGTAAAGGCAACAAGAATGCCTATTTTTAAATCCTAGTTTTTATGCCATTAATCCTCCTGATATATTGCATTCATTAGCAAATATTTAGATAAATTCCCACTGCATGGCATTTTTAGTTTAAGTTACAGCTAACACCATGCAAAAAGTTCCAGATGACATGTATAGAAATTGCTGTAGATTCATGGATTTCAGTATATTACAGAAAAACATTTGGTTGTATGTATATATCTATTTATTTTGTTTAATTTTAAACAGGAGTGCAATCAGCAGTTGGGAGCTCCTTGTCTTCAGGCAAACCACAAGGGCCTTTATTTTAATGATAACTGTGGCTGCTAGCTACCATAATTACTTTGGTCACCATGATGTTGTCTGATGCACAGTTACAGGCAGTAGAGTGACTTGACAAAACGTTACTTTCATTTTTTACTATAGGAATTTGTTTTTACAATAATTTAAAATTATGACTTTAGCAGCTACACAGCTGATGTCTGTACACTAAAATGTTCCTTAGTGGAAATTTCTAAATTCTTATCAAGATTTTCAGTGACACGTTTTGGACATCCCTGACTTGTTTTACAAGCAAATGTAAAATGTTTCTTGATGCATCTTTGAGTATCTTTACATCACATTACACCACATCCACATTTTTTATATTTAATTGTACCAAAGGTTTTTTTTTAACCATGTTATCCAGACAATTCAGTAAATCTTACCAACCCATCTCTTAGAGTTAAGTACTTGCAAACTAAGTTTTTATCCATCATGAGTACATCCAGGCAGGTTCCTGGTCCTACATTCACTCTGTACTTTTAAAACAAGCTCAGCCATATAGCCAGAGTCAACAACTGTCCTCAGCGACAACATTTCAGTAAATTCTGGATTTCTTACATTTTATGTTACAAAGTTTTAAAAGCTGTTTAAGTTGAGCCTGATGTTTCTTTACACATAACGAGGAAAAAAAGCTGGATCAGGTCATCATTCATTGAAAGACTAGCAACGAATACCAGAGTTCTTCTATTTAAGTGACAGATACGAACTATTCATGACGCTGTTTTGACAACATCCTCACTTTACTTTGATTTAAGAGGACACTTGTGCTACTGTGTGTTTGTAGAGCTTTACCACCATTTGCTGTTTGCGTGATTAATCTCTGGAATGTGCAAACACTTGAGAGAGCTCACTTTGTTCTTTGTTGAATGCCCTTCATTGTATTTCCGTGAAAGTAATTGAGCCTGGTGGACTTTGTCACAAAGATTAAAGGCTCAGAAATACTAATGAGCATTGATGTCAGACATGGTTGTTTGGGGCTGTCACGGTGTAATGACAGCCCCAAACAAATAGGAAATTGCTGTCTAAAAATTTTTTCTTTTTACATGTCTTGATGCCTGATTGGGCTTTTTTGTGTAAAGTGAACTGGCATGGGATCTTATGCCCAGAAACATTTCATGTATTTAGTATTACATAGTGTTAGTGCTTGGATCATGATTTGTAGGTACCTTTCATATCATATGAGCATTTTTATACTGCTGGTCTATCTGGAAACAATTCACATGATATACCAGGAGAGCATGCGAGGCAAAATACACCAAGGAACTGCAGGCTGTGAAAAAACGGATGTGAAATTGTTGTGACAAAAATACAAGTGCCTTAGAAAGTTATTTGTTAAATTTCCATGTACTGAAAACATGGTTTACAGGAACTTTACAACCTTCGTTTTGCTGACAGAGCATATGACAGAGAAGCTCAGAAAAACATATAAGCCTGTCATTCAGAAGTGTGGAAGGCGTGTTTAATTTCACAGCTGACGTGTTGAAGTGTGGAGTGAGTGAGAGGGTTCTCATCATTGATAGGTTTTGCAGGATACGAGCAGGTTCTGCGTACAGAGACAGGTGCTGAAACATTACAGCGTATTTCTACTCACCCAGAGGCGATAAGGGCACGCGACTGAGCCATGGCGATACGCTGCAGCGCCGGACGGCTCAGCCCTGCGAGGCTAGACCGAGGTGGCAGGGGCGCCGCGCAGGCAGCAGCCGCGGCAGCGCCGGATGAAGACACTGGACCCAGGACACGGGCAGAAGGTGATGGGGTGCATGTGGATGTGGCTGTGGAGATGAGAGGTGGCCCTGAGGCAGGTGCTGCGGGGGCAGAACAGGAAATGGAGAGAGAGGAGACAGAGGTGGAAGGGTGAGGGGTGGAGGTGGTGGAAGATGATAGCGTAGTGGAGGGCGGGGGGGGCGGTGGCAGCGGTGGGGGGAGAGGAGGAGGTGGGGGCCTTGTGGAGGAGATGGAGAGACCAGCTGTGGCTGACCCAAGAAGGGAAAGAGAATGGGTGAAGCCTCCTCCGTAGCCAAGGCTCGTAGTGCCGACGCTGCTAGCACCAACCATGCTCATACCTCCTGCACCTCCCATACCACCTATGTTGAATCCACCTGTCGCCCCAACCATGGATGTCCTGTGGGGGGAAAGCGACCTCGACAGGGTTGGAGGCCGAGGGAGGGTTAGTGAATAAGAGCCTCCTGGGATGGGGAGGCTGCTTAGTTTGGGACTTGGTGGTTTAGTCTGTGGTGGTCTTCGACCGAGAGTGTGAGCGGTCGACATAGTGCCTGCTTTGACACTTAGCACCAGCATACACTGCTGACAGGCGCATGGCTGTCCCAAGGAAGTGATGGCTGAAGCCGGGAGCGCCCCGCTGGGGTACGCACTCCCGTTTCCAGTCCCACTGCTGCTCATCCGGATCCCCATGCCCACTCCAGATACATCAACACCTAGAAGTCCTCCGTGTCCAGGCATGGACGTTGGCCCCCAGGCATGGTGAGACTTGGGTAGTGGCCCAGATACCAGCGGGTAAGCCAGATCAGAACGGCGCTGGATACGTCTGCAGCGCTGCGTTTGCCCATTGATTTGGGTCATACTTTCGAAGTCAATGAGGTAGCAGAAACCCAGCGGCGCCAGGTCCAGCCAGGGCTGCTGACGGTCGCGTGCTGCCTGGATTGCAATGCCCACCTCAGTGTCGTATGCCGTCCAGCTGCCAGCGTCGTTCTCCCACTCCCACAACCAGCCCTGGCCTGGCGCTGATGTGGGGTCGTAGAAGCTGCGTCGCACCGGTCTTAGGGTACCTGAAGAACACGCCACAATGGACTGAATTACTGAACAGTAAACTATATTAGTATACATTAAAAAGAAGACTTGTACTGTGAATATGAAGTTCTGTAGCGACTTTTCACTGAGTCTGCTCAGCATGACGCCAGGCGATGAGAAGTAGACGCGAGATGAGGAATGCGACTGCACTACAATTTGCTGCGGACAAGTAGATTACAACCATAACAAATTCTACATTTCTGTGTTTTCTTGCTAAGAATTTGGGCAAACAGGTTGCCCCTGGTAACAGCACATGGTGTTCTGAATTCCGATTGGCTGGCAGCCTTGATCCGACCCAAAGCTGACTGTGTTTGCTTTCCCTGGGTGTCTAGAGAAACTCCACAGAGTCTCTATACTGTAAAAGCTCCCCACATCAAATCCCGGCTTCCGATAGCACTGCATACGTTGCGTTAAGAAGGATGCTTCACACTTGAGCCTCTTCACTGGCAACAATAACAGGGAAAAACAGAAAACCGTACAAATTCTGTGAAATAACACTTTTCGCAACTGTGACTCTGGAGCTTTAACATTGCACACTACTAATGAACACACAAAACATAAGGCACTGTTGAGCACATGAGGCCTGCCACGCACAGACGCATAATAATATGGGCTCGTTCACGAATTCTGCTCCTGTCAACCCCATTTTTTCAGTGTCCTCGCACTCCTGAAATTCCTCTCCTCCTCTCTTGCTGCTACTGCTTTTCTTCCTCAGACTGGGGCACCCTGCCTGTCTCCCTCATTTCAGCCTGGTTTCGGGTTTAGAAAATAAACCAGACAAAAGCTTTTATCAGCCAGCGCTGAGAAAAGGCCAATGTTGGGGTGTCTGCCAAAAAGAGGGGGGGAAAAAAAAAGGGGGGGGGGGGTGTCTGACAATCCCCTTCTTTGTCTTATACCACCCTGCCTGGCCTGCTCGGTGAAGTTGTGGCAGATCACCGCTTGTGTCTCCTGGAAGACAATACCGAGGGCCGTGTTTTGCAATGAAAACCTTCCCATGCATGGGCAAGCACACACTTCCTGCCAGGAATGACTCACTTCAGAGCTGACACCTTTCAAAATCCAACCTCTTCAATGCTGGAGTGTACAAATCTAGGGGCCGTGTGGAAGGGGGGTGTCACTGAACTGGTGAAGCTGGCAATTCAATGATTTGAGATTTTAAGATGAAAATGATTCAATTTATGTCACTGAGTGAGATCTTTAGACCACAGCAGCTCACTAAACCCATCAGCTTCTGCAGGATGATTATCAATAACAACCCGCCAGCATAAAAAAAAGAAAAAAAGGCCTCCACCTCAGGCTCAGCTTCAGCATTACACCCCCCCACCACCACCACCACCGCTCTCTCTCTCTCTCTCAAACACACCCTCCCTCTCGCCCCTCTCCCCCCTCCCGTTTCTCACCTGTGTCCTGTCGGAACTGGTGCATGGAATGCAAATCGATGATGTAGGGCGAGAGGCGAGAGTCCACCTGGCCGAGGACGACACTACCACAGCGCGGGTCGCTCCGGATGACTGCCTCGATGTGATGACAGACAGCCGGGCTGTAGGGCCGCCAGCGTCCGTGCTCGTTCAGCCATTCCCATACCACTACGGCGGATGCTAGTAACATCCTACTCCTGAAAAGACAGAAAAACAAAAACAAAAACAAAAAATGACAATACCGAGGCACAAATGAAGGAGAAGCCGGGGCGACGGGTGTTTAAAGGTACCCCGCTGATGCCTCTCCGCCGCGCAGCCCTGCGCACAGCGGCGCTGCATCCATCTTGGACAGTTTGCAACCCAGATGTGTTTTCAGTGCTATCTGTGCTTCTAAGTGCATCTTTCGGGATGACAGCACATGCAATCCGTACCTTCCATGTTTGTAGTTTCGGAGGTGCAGCAATTATTAGGTCCTTTTATTGCACGGGGGAGATACAGAGCGTTTCGTGGAAGCAAAGACAGAACAGAAGCCTTCCAGGATGGTTGCATTTTACTCCCTATGCAGATGAGTGACGTCTACCGAAATCAATTCTCAGCCACAGTCAAGTTTGGGTGAGAGGAGAAAATGCAACTTGGATGCTCACGGTGGTGCGGCGGCGGTGGTGAACTAGGTTACTGTCATGAACAGACTTTCATAGTAAACTGTAAGATTTAAAAAAAATATATAATCAGACAAAAAACGGAGGATTTAAAAAAAAAATAGATTTTTAATATTTACCCCGTTAAATCGTCTCCTCCTGTAAAAACAAACAAACAACAACACTGCTTTTGTAGAGTAGTTTGTTTAGTATTGATCCACCAATATAACTGTAAGAATGAGGTAAAATCCCGTGTCCGTGTTACATAATCGCTCTAATAAATTTTCGGAACACTAAGTTTGGAGTTAGCTTTACTTATTGGCTCATCCAAAATGCCTCCATCGACCAGCTCTCACTTAACTATCAGGTACTGGACGGGTGAAAATAAATCTTTGACGCTCGCGTGTATGAACACCCCCACGCCTCCAAGGCATCCACCGTCCAATCACATTCGAGCACGGGCTGCTTTGGGCCAATCGCAAACCTACCTCACCTCGCGCACACATTGAGGTGACGGTGTTTGCTATATAGTTATGCCGTATCGCTTTAAAATTTTTTACCTCTTCTTCTGTGACTTCTGTGACAATATTGCACTTTATAACATTTACAACTTATACGGAAATAAAAGTTGAAAAAAAAATATTTGGAGATGCCGGGGATTGAACCCGGGACCTCATACATGCGAAGCATGCGCTCTACCACTGAGCTACATCCCCATTGGCTGAGTAATCAACAAGGAGAGGATTTATCTGTAACTCATGGCTGTACCGCTATTGTGGCTGATTTTGGTGTAATTACGACTTTAATATTGAAAGTTATATTGTTATTCATATGTATTTGCTCCGGTTAATGCATACAACAGGAAACTTGTGGCTTACCGCTAGCATGTTTTTTTCTCTAAAACCCTAAAAACATAAAACACGGAAGAATTTTAGCTTCGTCATGCTATGATCACGTTATGTACACATGCTTCCGCTGATAGCATTACTGCATGTTTTATATATTTTTAAAGTATACAATTCATTCGTAGTTTCAGTATGTGGTTTATTAAATTTTCAACCATTTACACACCATATAAAATGTATGTTGACTTAAAGTTTGATCGGTTACATTCACTTGTTTTCAATAAAACAAATAAAGCATTATTTTGTTCTCACTATATTTAATTACTACTCTTTTTTTATTTCTACAAACGGCATAAAGAACAACAAAAAACAGAGCAGAAAACACTAAAAAAGTTTCCAGTTTTCAATTTCTTATGTAGATTAAAATAAACATTTAAAGCAAAAAAGTATAGACAAGTATTGGTTTTTTTTTACACTTTACAGTTACAATCTAGAGCACCCCTGTATGTTTATATAACTGCTTTATTCATCCAAAAAATTTGACCAGAGGAAAGCAAGGTCAGTGAGGTCATGAGAGTTTAAAGCTCTTTGGGTTTAATGGGTGGGTGCATGTATCTTTTATTTTATTTTATTTTTTTAGACTAATAGAAGGAATTTGCAGTGGGGAGACATTTAGGGGATGAAGCTGGTGTTTGTGAAATCCTGATTTTGGCAGTTTCCTCAGTCTTATTCATTATTTCTGATTCTCACAACGCCGTCACGTCACCTTTACCCTCACCACCTTCTTCAGACCAGATCGCACTTCCAGAGAACTGCTTTAGATCTATCAGCAATCCCGGCCCTCCACTTGCCTCAGCTTTACTCTGCTCTTCTCCCACTTTCTCCTCCTTTTCTTCACTTTTATCTTCCGTCTCTCCCTCTGGCTCAGACTCATCGTTAAGTTTGGTTTGCTCTCCTGCCTCTGAACTCCCAATACTTGAGTCATCATTTGAAGTATTACTTTCTTTCTCCTTAGCATTACCAGTGTCGTTGTCCTCCTCCTCTTCATCTCCCTCAGTGTCACTCTCCTGACTACCACCACTGTCCACCTGTTCTTCTTCATCTTGGACTTCCTGCATTTCCTCCCCTTCCTCTTCTTCATCACTTCCAGGCCACAGCTGGACCCCAAGACGTGCCCCCACAGCTAACGCTGCACTTCTCGCCTGGTCCCTGAGACCTCCTTCCTTGTAGACAATGCGTCGGACTGTATATTCCCCTTCAGCCTCCCTGTTCAGCTTCTTGTACAGTACAAAGAGCACAACAAGGAGGAATAATAGGATGAACAAAAGGCCCAGCACCAATGGAGTGCTGTTTTGTTCAGAATCCCCCATCCCTGAAGGAAGGACAGAGAAGAGGTTCAGAATTAGTATGAACACACATGGGGAATCAGTTCATTTTCATAAATGTTTTGGTGATGTAGGATTTCAGAAAACACATGTTTACATTCTTGCCGAGTTAGATTAGAAAAATGACATTTTACATCATTCTCGTTTCATTTAATTGAAGCCTGAAATCTGATAGAGTAGCGAAATACGAAGGGTGCAGTACAAGGAAATCAGTCACAGGTGGACACAAGGGGCAAAGCTGATGTATAAATTCCTATATGATTTTTTTTCTTCATAAAACCCATTAGGCATTTGAAAACTCAAGATGGTCATTGACATAGCCAAGTAAAATCTCTTTCAAGCAAGCCTTGTCTCTTTGAATGATCTTAATGTGAAATCATATGCATTCAATCAATAACTTGCCAACAGGTGTGATATATATTTATCTGGATTTGTATCTGAGCATTAAAATGTGTCTGTGGGTGGAGCTTGCAGTGGAAAGACTGCTCGGTCTAGCAGGAGCAAACCATGGTCAAGTACTAACTAACCTTGTCCCTTTCATAGTCTAGCTTGATTCGTTAAATGAGAGACCCATTGTAACGGATAGCTGCGCATTAATCACCTCACAGTAAGCAAGTTCTGGGTCTGAATGTGTGCAGAACTGCTTGTCAGGTTAGCTGGTGGTTTAAAGTTGGATGAACATGTGTCATTGCAATTATTTCATTTTACAAAGGCGCTCCGAAGACATTTTTTAACTCATAAATTTGACTCTCTTATAGTCAAAAAGAGTCACACCTGTGAACTTTATCCACCAGTTGAAATTCTGCAGTGAAACGGCCGAAAATGATGATCAAATTGCATAAATTAGAAATTTTCAAAATTCTAGAGTGACAAACACGCAGTTTTTGGCACTTATATCCACTTTTGAAAGTTTGTTTCAGTCGTTTGCTGCATTACAGTTTGCTTCGGTCCCAAGAACACCAGCTAAGAATCATTCTGACACAACAAACTAAATCTGACAGTTGCGTTGTGGTGCAAATTAAAAAAAGAAATAGCAAGCAAGCAAGATTTACAGCTGCTTTAGGCCTTTTTTCAAACACAAAAGCTGTGTGTTTTTCTCTAACACTGCTTAGCAAAGCTAACTGTCTGCATCATCTTCATATTTCTACATATGACAGTAATATGATTTTTTTTTTTTTATCAAACTCTTGGCAAGAAAGTCATTAACACTGTTTATCACACACACACAAAACAAGCACTTCTAAAAATAGGTACATTTTTAGCTTTAAGAGCAGCTTTCACTGTTTATTTTAGCAGGGGTGTGCCTTATCACTTAAAACAATGCAGTGTGTGCACTTGAGGGAACACAAAAGCAGAAAGCTGTTTCTCTCTTTGCACTTTAAAACAATGGAAACCGAGAGTCTGCCACAGACTTTGTGTAGGGCTTCTGAACTCATTGTCAGTCCACTTTTAACTCGTTGCAATGACACAAAGCTGACTTTGCTACAATTAAATGTAATTAAAAATGTGCATTACCTCCTTAGGAAGAAGTTACAGTTGAATTAAAGAAAAGAAATTCCTGGATGGTTTGGAGTCTCAGTTACAGGCTGAACTTTACAGTCACAAACTCCTGGTGCTTTCAAAGCAGCTGTGAACTTGTCATCAGGAGATCCATTGGTGAATTTTATACTCAGGATCTAAACATGAAATTAAAAAAGAGGTAAATTGACAAAGTTAAGGCATGCACAACTCTGCACAAAAACAGCAGTGGTACTACTGAAATGACCTATCATCTGAACAGCAAGTGCACAATATTGCACAATTTATGATGAAGCATCACTAATTGTAGCTTTCTAAATCGAGAGGAAACATTGATGCATTGCTCGGCGTTAACCTGAAACTTTTTCTCCATATACAAATGTGTTCTTTGCACATTAAAATTTAGAAAGTTTTTTTTTAAATCAATCTTTACCAAAACATAACACAGGCTCACAGGTTATAGTTATATACATACTCACACTGGAGATGTAACAGGAAGTCTGCCCTTGTTAAACTCTAAATTGTGTTCACTAGGATGACAGGAAGCTTTGCAGACCGCTCAGAGCGTTTGCTGGTTTCCTGTCAAAATGATAATTGAACAGCATCAGTCAGCCCGCCATGGGTGGAAACTTTTTCACTCGGCGTTCATCAGACCGAGAGCCGACATCAACTATTGCAAAATTAATCAAGAACTAAAGCAGGTCCACTTACAAAGAGCAATTAAAGCCAAAATGGATCAGAGTAACTGATATAAGTTGCAAATTATTGCCTGAGGTGCAGTAATTGTACCTCACATGTAGCTTAGCATAGATTAAATAAATGCTTCAAGTACTTCAAAATCCAAAGTATTAAAAATCACAACAGGGGAAAAGCAGACAAAGCAGTTTCAGTGTAAAAGATGTGCGCAGCAAAAATGAGCTTAAGAGAAAAACAGGAAGGACATTTTAAAAAAAAACCCCGAAAAACTTACCAAAGTTGTGAGTGAGAGATACTGTTTGTGTTGCTGGAGAGCGAAGAATGGCAAAGAGGCTGACTTGTGTCATTTAGGGTGTGTTAGAACGAGTGCGACAGTGTTCGCGCTGAGAAGAAAAAGAAGAAGAAGAAAAAAAGTGAGTGAGAGAGAGACAGCGGGGGGGTGATGCATGACATGTGATGCTGAAAGTGCTCGCTGAAGCCCTCCGAGGGGGCGGTGAAAGCAGAGATTAAAGAGAGACTTTGATGGGGTGTGGTGATGAGCACAGATAAGAAAACACACAATTATTTCTGGAAAGAGGAAGGTGCAAATTTGAATTTGTTCCTTGCGAGGTTGACAAGTCACTTGAAAACTGCAGGTGTGAAGTCTGTGAAGTACAC